TTCTCTTTTCTTTCCTCTCCAGTCAGGTATTACCCTCAGATGAAAAGTCTAATCAGATTAGAGTTGATAGCAAGACTCAAACTAACCCCACCTCCTGCTAGAGGGTGTACATCTTGGTCTTAAACACCCACGGTGCATGACCATAGGAAGCAAGTAAAAAGGCACACAATGAGACAACAGTCAGTTTTGTTTGCATACTTCCTATTAAGTAGTTAACCAACATTTACTTGTTGGTAACAATTAACTGTTAATGTAGAACAACTTTTAAAATGTTGTGTTACCTCCTGCATGAAAGGAAATAATTTAAAAGCCACTATGGGCTCAGCATATTTATCTTTGCCATTAGCTTTTTGGTGAAAGTGCTGCTTCTGTCTAGAGGCCACAAATCTTGTTTGTGCTTCCTGTTGCAGAATGTTTATTACACAAGCAATCAGCAGCTCCATGTGGGTGTTCTGAGTCCCACTATCGACGATGATGACAACAGATGCCTGGTGGATGTGAACAGCAGGCCCAGGCTCATTGAATGCAATTATGCCAAAGCCAAGAGAATGAAGCTTTACTGGCAGTTTACTCAGGTAATTCTTACTCAGCAGACATTTCAGAAAGTTCAAAAGCTCTGTTTCATTATCTAAACTGTGAATAATCTGTTTAGAACCAGATTTATCCTTGCTTTCTTTGCATGGATTCAGGAAGCTATGTTTAATCCCAATATCAGCTACCTCAGAAGGTTATAAAACTTGTATTATATTTTCTGAGTTCACAGTAAATTACTTGTTTCTAAGGCAGAGTAACTGCTACAGAATTAGTCAAAAAAAAAGTTATTTTGGTAGTCAAATGCAAAGTAACCTATTTAGGAAAAAGAAACAGAAAGGTTTTTTTTGTTGTTTTGGAAGTAGCAACTCAGAAAAGGGGGTAGTGGGTCATTGATGGTAACAGCCCCCTCATGAGCTACTTTTCCAATTCCTTACTTTAGGAATTGGAATTCCATGCTTTTATGTGTGTATGTGCAAGAGAGAGACAAAAAGGCTGAGAAGTGATTTCACAGTGATGAGAATGCTGATAGGACATTGAGGCCGGGCCTGGTGTCCAAACTTCATTAACTGATTTATAAATACAAGGGCGAATGATAAAGAAGCCACAAAAGTTCTGGGGCTAGGAAACACGCTCTGTGATGTAATGTTTATGGTGATCACTCTGTTTAGTTTAGCTAAGAGGAAGCGATAAGGTGACCCAAAGCCTATCGGTGTTTCCACCGAGGGACATAGGTTATCCTGAAGACAAAACAGGTTCCAATGGTTGTAACTAGTCAAAGGTGAGATTTTCCTAAAGTAAGAATTAAGACATTGCAAGTTTACCATGGCAGGTACTTTCTAAAACAAGTACCTGATTTAGCTGTTGTGAAAAATTTAATAGCTAGGGTGAGTTTGACTGGTCACAGTTGCTCCTTTGCAGCTTTGAGGCTACAGCTCTAGTTGTGTACTCCAGCCCATGGGCTGAGGCTCACCATTAAGGTAATTCTAGTTCTACATTTAATGTTTCTGTACCATCTGTGTGGGTTTGCAAATATCTTTTCTGCCAGCTCATTAGATTGTTGTTTTTTTTTTCTTTGACTTCAACAGCCATGATCAGTGTATTTTAGGACATTGGTAATACAGTTTAGCATCGACCTTAGTGCAGACAGCATTTGGACAGTAAAGCATATTATTAACATTCTTTGTATTTATACTTTAAAGTAATCCAGACCTTTGTCCTTAAAGGGTAGCTCTCAAGCAGGAGACCTTAAATCCCTAACCTGGAAAGGCATCCCAGCTTTCACTTTCAGTCTCCTCAAGGGCAGAGTTTTAATTATGTCTTCTCTCAAATTGTAACAATAGTCTCATCATGAGCCGGGGGGGGGGGGGGGGGGGGCGTGTGGGTGTGTGTGTGTGTGTGTGTGCGCGCGCGCGCGCTCATTGTGGCCACCTCTGCACTTGATTTTTGGTACCATTTATAAAAAGTATAATTATTTATTTAAATGGTATTCCAGTAACATTTTAGTACGCTCCACCTATTCAGTGATTGCTCTGTATAACCCAGCCCTTTGGTGACAATTAATGATTTCTACTCCAGAATACTGCTGCTATTTTGTAATACTAATTATATTAGATCTGATTTGGGGGGCAGCAGTAGAATGCACTGATAATTTAACTACTACTTCAGAATAATGGTATTAATGACTTTAGGTTTGTTTTCTGTCTGTATTTCCATTCCATGTTCCAAATACAATCTCCCAATGAAGGTGCAGTGCTGTTAAATTAGACTCTATGGACTGTACTTAAGCCCCCTACAAAGAAACTTCTGCCCAGGAGAAGTGAAAGCTAATTAATTGTTTCCTTATGATAAACTAAGAGACAAATGAAATAATTTAAAGCTTGCAATTCAAAAAGGATTTTGTTAATACCCAGTGCAATTAAAATGCCATTATTTCTCAATACACAGCATGGTACACAGCCCCTTGTACCTTCTGTAAGCTAGAGGAAAGCTAATGAGAGTAATCAAGGCTTGCCAAGATCAACTGAGAAACTCCACCTGAAAGGCTCCCATTTAGTCTGGTAAAAGGATGTGTTTCTGTGAATACACTGGAAGCTGTCTATCTGAAAAGAGTCTTTTTTATTATGTTTTTAAAGCTCTTGTATTTATTTTCCATATTGTGCAGTGAGCAGAACTACTGAAAATAAGCAGGACTGTAAGTATTGATGCTTAGGTAGTCTTGAAATTTGTGAAATATTAATGAAAATGTAGATGCTGGCCATAGCTTTTTATAGCACCTTCCTTTGGCTGCAACTGTGCTTTGACTTCTCTGGATACTCTAGCCATTCAACAGGAATGTCTGATTATATAGATAATTAAAAATATAGCAGTGAAGTAGAGAATCGTCTCAGAAAGAAAGGGGATGGGAACAAGACTTAACCAGAGCAGGATAAACCAATGGGACTAGATTTCCCGGATCACCACACACATACCAAAAAAAAATAATAATAAAAAAAATTAGTATTTGCCCTGCATTCCAGACATGTATCTTACAATTTGAATGCAGAAACTTTCTCATTTTTCTGCAAAACACACTATATTCTGAGAGGCAGCATGATAGTCTGTGGTGGACTTCAGTCTGGTTGATAGAAGACTGTACAGCTTTTTGGAAAAAGGATTCTTCAGATAACATTTTCCTCCTCCCCTACATTGTTGAAAGGTAATGATGAGAGAAAAGCCTCATGACAAAATTAGAAAATAGGGGTCATCCTCAGCTAGCGGTCTTGCTTCTGTAGATCCATTACAGAATTATTTAATTCTTAATTTGCATCTTGGTTTAGAATTGTGTATGTGTGTATACACATAGATACACATGCGTGTGTCTTTATATATATATATATCTCAAACTAGATTTCTTTTTTAAAAATTTAACTTAAAATTTTAAAACCAAAGTAAAAGATATGTGGCTTCCTTCAGTTGCAGGCAGCTGGAGTCAGACACTCAGATGTCCACTGCTACCTTGTGGACAAAAGAGTGGTTTAATGGGCAGTCATATGGAGGGAACCACCACTGGTACCTCAAACCGTTTTCATTATACATCATGCTGGCTGACTGGACAGAGGCCTCGGGAGATTGTGTGGTATCTTTCTGTACAGGACAAACTTGCATTGAGCATTCAAAGCTTGTGTGGTGTGTTTGTATAATCAGGATCCATCTGAGCAAGTTTCCACGCTCCACAGTTTTGTACAGCTGCCAAATGCAATGAGACCCAATAAAATGTAGGCTGCAGTGACATCCTTCCTTCCAAGGCTTCTTCAAGTGTTTATAACTGTAATTATGTCAAATTATGTAAATTTGCCCTGAAAAGACTCCTGTCAACTGGGTAGCGTTCAAGAATTTTATTGTTCAGACTGTTTGTCAAGTTTTCTCTTAGGGAAATGCTTATTTTGGGAATACTTTTATGCTGAAAAGTCTTCTAGGTGTTTGACAGTTCACCTAGTTCAGTCTCTCCTCACTTTTTAATTTCATCAGAACAGCATTAGACCTCATAGCAAAACAGTAAGTAATCACCAGAAATTACACCAGGCAGAGAGGACAGAATTGCAATTACAGGATAGTAAAATGGTCAGAATTTTACTAAAATACTAACTTAAACGTGATACCACGGAAGCTGCTCTGGCATCGTGAACCATGAGGAAAGCAAAAACTAACCTCAGTTGCCACCGAGTGCCCCTTATTCAGTGCTGAACAATTAGTCCTGCTCGCACCCTGTGAGCTCTTTATGGCAAGGAGCAGGTGCACCCACGCCGTGTGCTGGCAGCAGCAGCCTGTTCACCTGTGTCGCGGAATGCTTGCGGAAGCATCAGCTCAGCAGCGTACCTGCGTGACCGCCACTTGCCCATGTACTCAGTACAGCCGCTGTCCTTGGGCCTACCGTAGTGATTGCATGACATGGTCCACTGCGTGACAGAGAAGGGGCTCTGAGATGGTGGAGATGGAGGCCAGTGCACCTGGACAGGTAACTCCTTGCGACATCTTTCAGTACAAACTGCTTATGGCCAAACCCCTGCTCTTCTGGACTATTAAGTTAGTTCTGTGTACTAAGAAATAGTACAGTCTAAAGGCTGCAGTCTGTTTTTTTTGGAGGGGGGTGTATTGGTTTGTTTTTGTAAGAGGTTTCTCAGTCTCCAGTTTATTGCTGATAGAAAGGCAGTCGTGATGTAACACCTGCCCTACGAGTGAAATTCATCTTTATATACATAAATCACCTGGGTGACAGCAGGCCATCTAGAAAGCACACTTATGGTGTGTTAGGACTCCTCCAGAAGCATAATAAATGCAAAAGGAAGAAGTTTTCCTGTAATTACTCTTGAAGTGTCTTCATGTTTATATTTAGTCAGATACGGATGTGACTGTTTCTTATGCTTCTAACCAGACTAGCTATTTGCTGTTGTGAGAAATATGACAGGTGAGGGCTCTGTGTAAAAAGAGGTGTAAGAAAGGACACAAGGCAGAGCTAAAAACCTAAGAGATTGATCCTTTTAAGGCTGTTCCATGTTGAATTCTTTTAAATTTAAATAATTCAACTTCCAGCATGGCTGCCATAGAAAGGTAAGAAGAGTATGGACCTATAGGGATGGCCACTCATTGCAAACCTCATGGGAGGCAGAGCCTATGCCCAGCACTGCCCTGTACCCATATCCACTAGCAGTCGCATCTGCCTCTGATACTAATGTAGCTTTTACATGTTATGGAGAATTGTGATTCTAGTCAGTGCTGCAGGTTTCTACAGGAAATCTTCCAGTTCAGAAGTGTTCAGAGGGGGTGGTTTATGCTATCCTGAGAAGCTGTAAATAAAATTTGTCGCTGACAACTGTAGTTACCATATGCATAGTTTCCCAAATATCATAGTAGTAATTGCTTTGGAAGGAAAAGGGAAGACAGATGAGAGCAAATGAATTACTCAGTTGTTACAGTATTCCACAGATAAACATGATGATTCAGATCTCATTTAAATAGGTATTAGATAATAGATAGATTAAATAGATATTCTATGTAGCTATAT